TTACGGCGGTGCGGCCCTCTCAGGCCTCACCGCTGGAGGCCGCCCTTACGGCGGTGCGGACGACATGGACACGAGCACCCTGCCAGGCGCCATCCTCGTGTCTGCCGCTGGAGGCCGCCCCTACGGCGGTGCGGGTTTTGCAATTCTCGCCGCTGATGTCCGCCCCTACGGCGGTGCGGCCACGTGCACCTTCAACGTCGTCGGCTTCGCAGGTGACCGGGTCGCTTTTGTTCGGTCTGGTTCAACTTCCTGGGCTCCGTCGGCGAGTTCGTGGTCCACTTTTCAGGCCCAGGGCAGAGCAAACATGGTGGAGTTGTTCACATTGGGTTGCTCTCCTTTGGTTCTGGTCTTTTCTACTTTCAAGTTGGGTGCAGCATTCTCGTATGGAAGGAATGAACAAATTGGCTAGTATTCTTGGCTGCGGTGCCGTTCTACGAGGCTGTCTGTGGATGACGCGATTTCCATGATTGGTTGGAGGTTGGCCAGTTACCTCCAGGGAGGCCCGAATCGAGCGGAGTCCATTTGTGTTAAGCGTTTGCCGAGGGTGCCACTCAATTCTGGAGGTATTCACTATGGACCAGTTCGTGCTGCTTCATGGGCTTCTTTATCTGAGTATCCCAAAGTTGTATTTTCATCTTGCTACGCAAGCGTTCCGAATCCGAATCCGAATCCTCCTCCTCGGTCCTCCTCCTCCTCCTCCTCCTCCTCCTCCTCCTCTTCCTACTCCTCCTCCTCCTCCTCTCCTCATACTCCTCCTCCTCATTCCTCCTTCCCTCCTCCTCCTCTCTCCCCTCCTCCTCCTCCTCCTCCTCGGTCCTCACACCCCCCATCCTCCTCCTCCTCCTCCTCCTCCTCCTCCTCCTCCTCCTCCTCCTCCTCCTCCTCCCCATCTTCAGTCTTCCTAGCTCCTCCGAAACAAAAAAATCAAACGTCGAACCCTCGATGTTGCCCCTCGGGTCACCGGCCGCGGAGGCGTCGGCGGGCGGTCGAGGCGCTCGAAGGTGTCGCCGGGGTCGAAGCCGTGGCTGCTCGGCGGGCTGTCGCACCGCTGGCTCGGCGCCTCCGCGTGCTCGGCGCCAGAGCGCGGGGAGCGGGACCGGCTGTAGCCAGGCCCCTGGCAGGTGGGGGGGCGGGTGGGGCCACGATGGCGATGATGATGATGATGATGATTCCGACGACGACGACGACGACGACGACGACGACGACGACGACGACGACGACGACGACGACGATGATGATGATGATGATGATGATGATGATGGTGGTGACGATGATGATGCTGGTGGTGATGGTAATAGTGATGGTGATCGTGATGGTGATGATGATGGCGATGTTGATGATGATAATGATGCTCATGATGCTGACGCTGATGATGGTGATGGTGATGGTGGTGGTGGTGATGCTGGTGCTGCTGATGATGACGGGCTTATGACGGTGATGATGATGATGATGATAATGATGAACCTGGTGATGACGATGATGACGATGATGATGATGATGAATGTGGTGATGATGATAATGCTGATTATGATGATGATTGTGATGATGATGATGATGATGATGATGATGATGATGATGATGATGATGATACTGGTTATGATGATGGTGCTAGTGATAATGGTGATGATGATGGTCAATACATGGATGAGGATGAGGATGATGATCATGTTAATGATGATGATGATGATGATGATGATGATGATGGTGATGGTGATGGTGATGGTGGTGATAGTGATCATGGTAACGAACAAGAGACGATGGTGATGATGATGCTGATGATGATAACGCTCATGATGATCATGATGATGCTGATGATGAGCAGGATGAGGATGAGGATGAGGAGGAGAATGAATCTGATGATGCTGAAGAAGCAGAAAGAGATGATGATGAGGAGGAGGAGGAGGAGGAGGAGGAGGAGAAGGAGGAGGACGACGACGATCAGGATGAGAATGAGGGTGGTGATGCTGGTGATGATTATGATAACGGTGATGATGGTGATGGTGATGGTGATGCTCGTCTTCGTCGTCGTCGTTGCCACCGCCACCACCACCACCGCAAACGTCATCGTCGTCGTCGTCGCGTCGTCGTCGCCGTCATCGTCGTCGTCGTCGCAGTCGCCGTCGTCGTCGTTGTCGTCGTTGTCTTCGTTGTTCGTGTTTCCCGCCTTTTGCCTGGTTCCTGAATATCCCTCTACTGCTGCTATCTTCGTAGTTCCCGTAGCTTTAGCAGCAGGAACCTCGCCTCTCGACAACCTGCGAAGGGCCCACGTGCCATGCACTGTAGAAGGGCCGTCTTCGTCGTCGTCATCATCGTCGTCGCTGCCGTCGTCGTCGTCGTCGTCGACGTCGTCGTCGTTGTCGTCGTCGCCGCCGCCGCTGCCGTCGTTGCCGTGGTCGACTTGCCGATGTCGTCGACTTGCCAGGTGCCCCCGGCGGGAAGGTGTCGGGTGTTGGCAGGGGCGTTTCTGATCCCACGGAGTCCCCGAGATTTCCAGGGACAGGAGAAGCAAGCGGCGTAAACAGTATCTGTCGGAGGTCCGCACGGACTTCGCGGATCGGCGCTGGCCCCACCCCCCACCGCGTGCGGAGCGCGCCAGCAGGCGCTCCACAGGCGCCGCCGAGAGGACCCAGCCCGGAAACAACAAGAAATCCGCGCGGGCCTCCGAAAGTTTTTAGGGTTATGCAGCTGTTCTCCTTTGAGGGGAAGCCCCCACTGCCTCCAGAGCACCCCTCCTCACGAGAGGCCCAGAGGGCCCCCCCCCCGGGTTCCCAAAGTGGAGCGAGAAGCTGCGAGTGCCTTGGGCCAGAACTGCTCGCAGCAACACCCGCGGGGGGCAGTGGGATCGCCGTCGTCGACGCCGCTGGCGTCGTCTTCGCAATCGTCGTCGACTTGCCAGTGTCGTCGTCGTCGTCGTGATCGTCTTCGTGGTTGTCGTCGCCGTCGTCGCCTTGCCTACGTCGTCCTCGTCGCCGTCGTCGTCGACTTGCTGGTGCCGTCGACGTTTCATCATCATCGCCGTCGTCGTTGACTTGAAGGTATCTTCGTCGTCGTCGTTGTCGGTGTCGGTGATGCCGTCGTTGGGTCGACTTGCCGATGTCGTCGTCGTCGTCTTCATCGTCGTCACCGTCGTCGTCGGCGACGTCGAATTGCCGATGCAATCGACGTTTTCACCATCGTCGCCGTCGGCGTCGAATTGCCGATGTCGTCGTCGTCGTCTTTGTCGCCGCCATCGTCGTCGACGTCGCCGTCGTCTTTGTTGTCGCCACTCCCATCGTCGTCGAAGATCAAAGATCGAGGGAGGTGGAGGATCAAGGAGGCAGGGGAGGCCGTGCCTTCAGTCTTGAAAGACTTGAGGCGAACTGTCTTCGAGGGTCCGACGTCCACACGCCGCTTTTGGGCCCCAGGCCACCAAGGACGAACCAGGACGACAGAAAGGGTCCCCAGTCGAGAGCTCTGGGGGCCCGCAAACTTCCAGTGGCGGCAGCAGCTTTGGAACGCGGTTGGCCCCTTCAGGGCCTGAAGCCCCTGGATCGCAGGGCTGGCAAGGCGGGAAAGGCAGGGGAAGTTCACTCTGGACGGCCGCCGAGGAGGGAAATCATGTCAGCCTCGGGCTGAATTCTATCCCTGGCCGCACCTTGGGCTAACCCCATCTCTGCGTTCTTCTGTTACAGCGCTGGGCAGAGGAGGAGGAGGAGGAGGAGGAGGAGGAGGAGGAGGAGGAGAGGAGGAGGCGGAGGAGGGAGGGAGGAGGAGGAGGGAGGAGAGGAGGAGGAGGAGGAGGAGGAGGAGGAGGGAGGAGGAGGTGGTGGAGGAGGAGGTGGAGGAGGAGGAGGAGGAGGGAGCGTGCCCTCGAATGGACGGCCTCCGCGGACTTGCGGAGAACTTCTTCCTCGGACCTCCAGGCAATCTGCGAGCCCGCTTAGAGCCACAGCAGGCGGTGTGGGGCCGCACGAGGGAAATGGGTGGGCCCAACATCCCGCGATGCGAAAGAATCGCGGACGGAAGGCTGTCATGGTTTGCGGCTTCTGGGGCACTCGCCAGGCCCGCCTGGGGGAGGGCCCCCCCAGCCGCCCCCAGGGAGGAAACAGGAGCAGTGGGAGGGGACCAGGATGGGCAAGGACAGAGGTGCCAGGAGCCAAGACCAGCAGGTATGCCCAGGTGGATGGCCAGGGGCAGCCACCCCCAGGGTGGATGATGGCAGACCCCCCCCCTAGATGCACGCCAGGGATTTTCAGTCGGGCCTGTCCCCGCACAGGGGGATTGTCGAAGAAAAATGAAAAAAATACTCAACAAATACCTCAAAATGGTTTTAAACAATAGTTTTTTCTTATAAAGAAAAAGCTTCCGACTATTTTTGAATATTTTTACATTTTCCTCCTGTAGAGGGACGGCCCGACTTAACCCAACATCCCCGCGATGCGAGAGAATCGCGACGGAAGGCTGTCAATCGTTTTCGGCTTCTGGGGCACTCGCCAGGCCCAAGACCGTAAAACAGCACTCGGAGCGAAAAACGGGTCCCGGGACAAAGTCAGGCATCTGCCGAGCCACGTGTGAGGGGGAGGGACAAGACGTCAGATGCCAGCGGAGGAGGGCCGCGCCGAGCGGTTCTCCGCGTGGCTTGGGTGCGGCGGTCTCTGGGGCGCAGTCAAGCCACCAATTACCGTGAGGAACACCAGACGAGGAACGAAGCCCATCTTCGGCCTCGAGCGTGCCTGTATGCCAGTTGTTGATGTGTTGTTTTGTTCTCTCTCTTTCTCTCTCTCTCAGTCTTCTCTCTCTCTCTCTCTTTATTTCCCCCCCTCAATCTCTATCTCCCTCTCTCTCTTTCTTTCTCCCTGTCTCCTCTGACTGTCTCTCATCGTCTCGCCCTGCTGCTGCCGCGAGGGTACAGCGCGGCTCTCGCTGCCGAGGAAGAGGGGGGGAAACGCCCCCGTGCCGCGGCTCCTCCTCCTCCTCCTCCTCCTCCTCCTCCTCCTCCTCCTCCTCCTCCTCCTCCTCCTCCTCCTCCTGCGGCAAGGCAGGGAGGAAAGCAGGAGAAGGAGCAGGGGGAGACTTCTTGAGACCCCTGCAGCGCGAAGCGACTCCCGAGGGAGAGACGCATGCGCCCCTCGGAGCTGGCTCCTGGAACCCCTCGCGGCGTCGGGGAAGACGGCGCGATCCGCGCGCGACCCGCGGCAGCCCGAAGCCGCCGAGGCAAATGGGCTCCGGCGTCGCGCAATGGAGGGGCGATAAATGGGGGGGGGGGGGGGGGCAGCGAGGGCTGCAGACAAAAGACCCTGTAGGGCTCCGAAAGGGGTATTTTGATTGAAGCCCAAAGAGGGGCGGCCTCTGGGGCCCGACAAGTGCACCCTTCTTCCCCCCACTATCGCCCCCCCCCAAGTGAGCGACGCCCAACCCGCACACCACCCGCTGCTGCTGGCAGATGCGCCCAAAGCTGCACTCGCAGACGACGACGGAACACAACGCCGCAGCACGGGCTGCAGGAAAAACGCTCACGAACGGGGACTCCGCGCCGTGATGCGGCGCCCTCCGCGGCTTCTGCGGCCAGCGTGTCGCGGCGGCGGCCCCAGCGATGGAATCGGGTGGCGTGCCGCTCCGCTCCGGGGGCAGGAGGCTCGGAGAAGTTCGGAGCGCTGATGCCTTGGGACTGGGATGCGGCTGGCGTGTGGCCGGAGCTGGCGGGCCGGAGCTGGCGGCGCAGCACTCGGCCAGAGCTCCTGCACTGACGCTGGCAAGGAGGAGCGCCAGAAGGGGGAAACGATACCCTTCGAGGCTGGCCGCGGCACAGAAGGCCCGAAGACAAGGCAGCACCGCGAGCTCCTCCACAAGCTGTCCCGCTTTTCGGCCGGGCAGCGGAATGCTGAGCACAGACACGCACACACACACACACACACACACACACCGAGTTGTCCAAAGGTGCTTTTTCCGCATGAGCCTGTCCAGCTCAAAAGGGTGCGCTCTTCTCCGCAGCCCTCGTCCAGCTCACACGGCGCTTTTGTTCCGCATCCCCTTGCGTCTTCTCCACATCCCCTTGTCACACTCGGGGGCCCGAGATCGCGGCGAGTCGCCGCCGTGCCCCCAGCGGTGCCGCGAAGCGCATCATGACCATCACGGGGGAGCCACGCGCGCTCTGCGCTGGCCTTCCCGCCAACGGCGGCCAGGGAGGCGCCAGGCGCCACCAGCGGCTCAACCATCGGGGCCCGCTTTGCAGCCTTCGCCTCCAGGTCCCGCTGCAAGACGGCGGTCTCCTTCTCGAGCGCTGCACTCGCCGCCGCCCTTGCATCCCGAGGCGCATGGTCTGCTCGTGCGTCTGCTCGAGGGCCCTCCCTCGGCGCCATCTACACTTGGGTGGGACCCCGCTGGCAGGAAGCGTAGCCACCTGCGCGGCCGCGCATGTGGAGAAGAGCGTAGCACCGCATGTGCGAGGAGTGCCAGGCCCCTGCACGTCGACGTCCTGCTCCTCCACACGGCCTTCTAGGACGGTGCCCCTGCTGTCGCCCCAAGGTTCGTGCCGAGCCTCGTCGCCAGCAGATTTGACGGCCTTCGCCTCGGTGGCCACCTCCACGGGCAAACTCACAAGGCCCTCGAGCTCCCGCACCGCACCCCCGAGCCGAAGACGATGAGCTCCGCGCCCAGCCGCCAGTGGAGCATTAGGGCCTACCACATGGCCGCTAGCCGCCCGCGCAGCTCCTCCACGAGCTGCGAGGGGGAAGGAGACTCAGGAGCCACAGTCCCTAGCTGGGGCATCGTGGGCGGGGGAACAGCACACGGGGTGAAGAAACGTGCACCTGTCGTGTGCATCTGAGCCCGCCGTGGCAGTTCAGGGGCCCTTCGGTGCCCATTTAGGGCCCCTTTCCTGCAAACCTCGATTCCCGCACGTCTGTTCCCCCCCCGTTGCCACCCGCCCGCCGTAGAGGAGCGACCCGGTCACCATCGCCCCCCTCGGGGTCTCCACGCCGAGGCGCTTCTTTCACAGCACACGACGCCCGGGGCAGAGCAGGAGCCAGCCGAGGTGGCTCCAATGGATGTAGCAGCGGCTCGTCGCGTTTGCGGGTGCCTTTGCGCGGTGCCTTCGCTAAACCGACGGATTTGGCGGCCGCAGCCGTGTTGCCAGAGCGTCCCGCTGCAGGGGTCGTTCGGCCGTTCGCGCCAGGGCGCCCAGCTCCGCAAAGGAAAACGTCTTGGCACGCAAACACTGATAATTGTGTCGGGCCCCTGCGGCGCCCCGAAGGCACTTCCAAAGTGCCTTCGGCGCGCGCGAGCGTGCGCGCCAGCTTCCCCGACACTCCCGCCTCCCTGCCTCCGGCCTCCGCCGCGGGCGCCGCCCTCGCCGGCGGCCCGACCAAGGCCGAGCAAGGGGCCCCCGGGCCCGCCGAGTGCGCGAGCGCGCGAGCGCGGCCGGGGACTTCTCTGCTCAGCGCGTCGCGGCGGCGGCCCCGGCGAGGCGCCATGCCCTGCAAGCTGACAGCGCGTGGATCCGCCTCGCCGGGCGGGAGGATTCAAAACGCTCGGAACGTTGACGCTCGAGGGCCAGGACTTGGTCAGCGTGCCGCGCCGAGGCGTGGTAGGCCAGAGCCTGCGCCGCGATACGCGAAGCAAGCGTCCAGACAGGACCGCACCTCTGGGCTTAGCCGCCCCGATGCGTAACACGCAACCCGTAGCGTGTTGACACGGAACTCAGCGAGGAGACTGAAAACGTTCGTCTGGCGCGACACGTTCGCCAAAGCGTGGCCCAACACGTTGAGCCAGCACGCAGCGTGTTGACACGGATGTTTTGAACACGGTACATGCTGCCTTTCAACACGGGCGTATCAGGGCAGCTACGCCTCTGGGGTGTGCCTCATCGTGCCTGCTCCACGGCTCCGGCCACGCCCGGCTCGGCCGCTTTGTCGCGCTCACGCCAAGCGGCCGCAGCTTTTGAAGCCGCGCTTCCTCGCGCGCGGCCGCCGAGAAAAGCGGACCACAAGGAGGAGGAGGAGGAGGAGGAGACGCAAGACGAGGAGGAGGAGGAGGAGGAGGAGGAGGAGAAGGAGGAGGAGAAGGAGGAGGAGGTGGAGGAGGAGGAGGAGGAGGGGAAGCAAGAGAAGGCAGATGAGGAGCAAGTGGAGGAGGAGAATAATGAGAAAAACGAACCGAGGACGGAGAAGGTGGGTAGGAGAGGGGAAGGAGGAGGAGAACGAGGAGGCGGAGGACCGAGGAGGAGGAGGAGGAGGAGGAGGAGGAGGAGGAGGAGGAGGAGGAGGAGGCGGAGGACACGAGGAGGAGGAGGAGGAGGAGGAGGAGGAGGAGGAGGAGGAGGAGGAGGAGGAGGAGGCGGCGGCGGCGGCGGCGGCGGCGGCGGCGGCGGCGCAACTGCATACAGTATTTCAATACCAGCTGAGCATCAGAGGAGGCGGACGCAGGGCGCGTATGCGCACCATGCCCACACTGGGGTCAGAATGGGCGGAGGTCCCTCGATCAATTGGGGACTCCTCGATCGCAGCGCAGGCTCAAGAAACCTGCACCCAGCACGAGGGCAGGCACAGCCGCGAGGAGAAGCAGGCGAGGAGGAGCGGGCAGCTGCGGCATGGGGGTCGGACTGAGCAGACGCCGTGCCCAACGGTTCTCGAAGGGCAGTCCCTCTCGGCAAGAATTGCGCACGTGCATTCGATCAAGCACACTCACGCACCACAGACATCGGGTACGGAGCAAGAGGAGGTCATCGGCCACGGCTTCCGCCAAGAGACCTGCCCTGAGCCTCCTCGTCCTCTACCGGTCGCACGGGGGGGGGGGGGGGGGGGCACTCTCCTTGAAACGCCACCCCCCCACGCTCAAGGACGGATCCTCGGAAAAAAAGGAAAAACGCGAGAGCGGCAGCGGAGGAGCAAAGGAAGAGGCAGAGACGGATGTGGATCCAATCCTAGGGTCTTCTGCTCGCCGCGACGGTGGCGGCGGGCTCCTTGGAGCATCTTCTCGACAAAATTCTGGTCCCTGCGCTCTTGAGTGTTTGTCGGGGGGGGGCCTTCACTGTGCTCCCGAGCGCAAGGAAGAGCTGAGCGATCGCAGCATTCATAGGAATGAGCAGGGTCACCCAAGTATTTACAAGAAAACGTGTGACAGATCCCTGGAGGGGAAAAGGGGGATCCTGGGCGTAAGGCGTCCTCGGCCCGCCAATACTTCAAGAACTCGCAGGCGACCGCGAAAGGCTGGCTGTTGAGAAACGCGATCAAAGCTTGACGCTGCTCGAATTCTGCAACTAGCTCCATGCTCGACTTGAAGGCCGCAATCTCGAGCAAGGCCATGAATACTGCTGGGGCTGGATGGACGCTTGGGGGTCCCGAATTGTGGTCTGGGGGGGTTCTCTTTCACTAGGTCTCCGCACGTGGCGGCTGCCGCGACCGCGGCCTGGTTCACGGAGCAGTCCTGGGGGACGACCTGGACACTCAGCACGCAGCCCTCGGGGACCCTGACCCGCTGGGCGCTGCTGAAGTCGCCTCTCGTGACCTCCCGAGCTGCCTCGTCCTCGCTGTCTGTGCCGATGGTTGTGCCAGCCCCACTCGCAGCCGCCCGCCCAGGCAAGGGCTTCGTCGATCCTGCCCTCCGAGCCGGCCAGCGCTCCAGGAGTCGCTGGGTGAGTTCACTGCCAGCCTCTTCTTGGCCGCCTCGAGATCCTTCGGCGCCAAGCTCATCGCCCACGGGGTAGAACTAATCGCGAGGATCTGGGACCGAGAAACTGAGAGTGGCGTCTCCAAGGTCGATGTGAGTCCGAATATGTCTCTGTAGAACCACACGCGATGGAACACCTGCACTACACGCTGGACACTGAAGAGGACTCGGTTCGAAAATAGGATTGTGTATCGGGCTTCTGTCTCCATGTGAGCATACCACCCTTTCTGTTCCGATAACTCCACGCCACAGATCGACCCATCATCAACATCATTAGTTTCGGTACACGTCCATACACGCTGGGTTTGGGGTCATCTCCACCAGCAGCAGGAGGAGGAGCAGGAGCAGGAGCAAGATGAGTAATCAGGAGGAGCAGGAGGAGAAGCAGGAATCGGGGGCGCGCGAACATGGATTAGCGATCCATGGATTTGGCGCGCTGTCGCCTAATCCATGGATCGGGGGAGGTGCCCTCCCCGAAATGCGGCCGGTGCCGCCTCCTTCAGCGGCGGAAATCCGTGATTTCCCATGGAAACGGGACCCGTCGCTAATCCACGCCCGCTTGATCCATGTTTGCGATCGCCTGAAGGAAGAGCAGGAGGAGCAGGAGGAGCAGGAGGAGCAGGAGGAGCAGGAGGAGCAGGAGGAGCAGGAGGAGCAGGAGGAGGGCGCCGTCCCCCCGTCACTGCCGCGGCGCCTCCTCCAGCGGCGCCTCGCTGGGGCAGACACTCCGCCCGTCTTCGTCGAAGGCATCCCTCTCCTCGGGGGCAGGCGGGGCGAGGGGCAAGAACTAGAAAGGCCGAGTCATCTCTCCGGTGTCGCACGCAAGGGGGGGGGTGAGCGGATCATCGCACGTAGCGGTTCTGTCCCTGGCGCCCTCCCTGCGCCAGAAGCGCCAGCGCTTCGAGGAAAGCGCCCCGCGGCGGGGCCGAAGGCAGCTGCACGCAGCAGGTGTCGTAACGTCGCAACCTGCATCTTCCCTATCCGGGCGGGAGCGAGAGGGGGGGGTCCCAGCTCAAGGGGGGGAACCTAGAGCTGGAATCGGTCATGCATCACCGGTGGATCAGCCATAGGCGGCGGCAGGCCCCCGATGGAACATCCGCACGGTCTCGTGCGAGGTGGGCCATCGGGCCCCTGGAGGCGCTCAGTGGGTGATTGGGGGCCGATGCGTTCCCCCTCTGAGCCTGTTCCGCCCTGGCGTTGCCCCTGAGAAGGGGGGGGGGGGGATCGGTGCGCCTGGCTCGTCCCGTGACAGGGGAGGGAGTGACGGTTGCCCCTCGATCCCGGAGGGTCGAGGAGGAGGAGGTGCTCGGGCATGCGCGGTTCCCGTCGGGCCACCGGGAGTCGAGGTGCAGGGGCGGGCGTCGGGGCGAGACGAGGGGGATGCTGTGCGGTCGGGAACCTGTTTGCAAAGCGTGTCTTGCTTGCCGTCGCTCGGACGTCCATTTCCCGTGCACTTTTCGGTTTCGTGCGTGTTTTTTGTTGCTCGATGGTCCAGGATGGTCCTCGATGATTCTCGCCGAGAAAAAATGCACACGTCCGAGCGATGCCAAGCTTGGCGGCAGCCCCCGCAGCACGCCGTGCACCGCGGGCGGAGGGCGTGCCGCTCCGCATTCGCGGGTCGGGAGGCTCGGGCTCGGGCCGTCGACGCCCGGGGACTGGGGCGTGGTCGGCGTGTCGCCCCGAAGCGTGGCGTGCCAGAGCCTGCGGCCCGACATGCTAAGCAGACGTTCCTTCGCAGGCCTAGAGGTTGACACCAACACCAAGATCGGCGGTGTGCCTCCGCCGAGGAAAGACGATCCCGTTCTCGGTGGTGGTGGTAATATTCTGGCTTCCAAGGTGACCGAAATATTGCCACCAACGCCGAAATCTAGGATCCTTTTTCCCATGTGGAGGCAGCCCCCTGTGCTGGTGTTGGTGCCAATTTCCAGGCCTCCAATTCCTGATCGTACGTCCGGATCGAGCCGCCCCCTCATGCCTCCATCCCTCCTTCCTATGGCCCTCCCGCCTCCATCCTTCTGGGGGCATCCGTGACCCCAATCCACCACTTCGCAAGGCTCCGCCTCGACGAAGAACTCGGGGCCCAACTCGGGGGTGCACAGTGAGGGGGGGAGGGGGCGCTCATCATCGATGGCGGGGGGTGCGTCCAGATAGCTCTGCAGTTCACAAAGTTCCAGTTCACAAAGTTCCTCTTCTGTAGGGAAACGAGCTCTATACACCGACGCGTCTTCCAGCCATGCACTGGTACTTGCACAGGGAAGCGGATCCTGGTGTATACGGGATCCTGGTGTATACATTTTTCGCTAATTTCCCGGGACCACACCACCCGGACGTCGTCTCCGACCCTCAAGAACCCTGGGATTAAAAACAGCCCGCCGCGGGTAATGTATATGCTCCAATTTCAGATACTGTTCTGAACAGCCGGATTCTTCGAAAGAGACTCATGGATTGGAGGCAAGAAATCCCCTGCGATGAGGTCCGTGTCGTGACGCCTTCGGCGCTGGCTTCTGACATCGCACGGGTCGCCCAGCCTCGAACGCTCGCGGCTGTCTGACAGCGCAGATCACTCTCGACGTCGGCCGACCCCAGGCCACTGGCGTCGTTCAGCCTTGCACGCCCGCGCTGGGGTCACCACTGCGAGGCGGGAATTGATCCATATCCACCGCCTGGGAACCGACGTCCTGGTGCCCTGGCGGGCGGTGGATATATGGATATGTTTTGGCCCCCGGGGGCCAGAATACATCCATATCCACCGCCTGTGGAGGTCCGCGAAGATCGACCCCCTGGGCGGTGGTTATGGGTGAATTCCCGCCTCGGAGCCACCGCGTCGACACGGCGCGAACCTACCTCAGGTTGGGGCGGAGCGGGTCAAGGGAGGACGAGGAGAGAGGAGGAGGACCAGGAGGAGCCGGGGCAGGAGGGAGGACCTCCTGCCTCTTCTCCCTCCGCAAGATCAGTCGTCATCGAGTCAGGAGATCAGATCGGATCGGAACCTACGACGGGACATGCTGCACAGGCAAGTGAGCGAGATCGACTCGGATCGGCCGCGCCAGGATGCACAACAGCGCCATGCCAGCATCGGTCCGCATCGAGTCATCCGAAAATCGGAATCGAATCAGATCGGGCCGGCGCCAGAATCGACATCAAATTGGGTCGATCGGATCGGCACGGACACTGCCTTCCCTGACCCTCCACGCTCCCCTCCTCCACCGACTCTTCCTCCACGCCCGCCCCCTTCTCCTCCCTCCTGCTCCTCCCGCCTCCTTCTGTTGCATGTTCGGGGGACCTTTGTCTGCAACCAGCAGGCCACTACCTGCGTCGGACCCGCGTCGAAGCCGCGTCGAGCACGAGGAGAGGCCGGAAACCCTGCAGGACGGGCGGGCCCCCCCGAAGATGCAGCGCACGATCCTCCTGTTCCCTCCTCTCGGCGGCGAGCCCGGGTGGGCAAGTCGGGAGGGGCGGGCCTTTGTGGGCCCCGGAAACGGCAGGGCCGTTTTTTCACCGTTTCCGAAAAAATGTCCCGTGAAAATGGAAACGGCACAAAAACGGCGACCGGAAACGGCAAAAAAACGGCTCCAGGATTGGAACCGGAGCCGGAACCGGTCAAAAAACGACGACGGAACCGGTAAAAAAACGGCGTCGGAACCGGCAAAAAACGACAAAACGGAACCGGTAAAAAAACGGCCCTGTCGTTTCCAGGGCCCACTAAGGCCTTCTCAGAAGGCTCGAAGTCTCTCGGCACTCTGGGCAGTTTTGTTCCCCTTCCCCGAGAACGCAGGAAACTGCTCGGTTTGCGAGAGGGCTTCTGAGAAGTCCCGCCGCCTTCTGAGAAGGCCTTCTCCTTCTCACTTTCCCCCTCGCTCGTCGCCGATCCTCCCTCCTTCAGAACAAGAGCGTCGGCAGAAACATACATCTTCCCAGGTCCGCGCGGATTTCTTGGATCTGCGCTGGGCCCCACTGGCGGCGTCTCTGGAGCCGCCGCCCCTGGCGCTCAGCACCAATCCGAGAAACCCGCGACGACATGTGAACATTTCTGTTTCTGTACACGTCGTTCACCTCTAATTGTGCTCATTTCTAATTGTGCTCGTTTCGAATTGTTCCTGGCCCCCCTGTGGCCAGGAAGAGGCCCAGGATAGAACAATTAGAAATGAAAAGATTCTGGCCCCTGTAAAATCAAAGAACCTTCGAAGAATTAGAAATGAACAATGTGTGCTTCTCGTTCCTCGTTCGAGCGTGCGGTCCAGAACTTGTTTGAAAAAAGGCGGGACGGGAGGCCGGGGGAGAGGCTTGAGGACGGTGATGCCCGGGGGCCAGGACGTGGCTAAGCGTGCCGAGCCGGACCGTGGTGGGCCAGAATCCGCGGCGCGGCACGATACATGAGCAACCTCCTTCTCCTCTTCCTCCTCCTCCTCCTCCTCCTCCTCCTCCTCCTCCTCCTCCTCCTCCTCCTCCTCCTCCAATCCTGACCGGCTTTCTCGGGTCGGAGCTGGAACCCCCTCTCGGGAGCGCGGAGCGCGCCCGGGGTATCGCGCGGAGCGCGCCTGGGGGGTCCACCGCAGATGCATGAAGGCCGCGCGGACAGTCACAGTTTACGTGCACGCCTGTTTCTCTTCTTCGACGACCGGAATCCTCCTCCCTCCTCCCTCCGCCCTGCGCGAGGAGGAAGGGATGGGAGACGAGATGATGCCGATGCCGTTGCTCCACGGACCTCTCCCAGGGCGCGTCCTCCCCAGAATGTGGAGGCGAACCCCAGGAGGCCCAGAGAGGCGAACACGAGGGAAGGGTGGCCTGACGTCCGCAATGCACGCGAGGGAGGGAGGGAGGGAAGGGGGGGTGCAGCGGCAGACTCGGCCGCCGCTCGCGCATCTCCTCCTCCAGCGCGCCCTCGTCCCGGGGGTCCCAGGGCGCCTCCTCCTGCGCAGGGGGGGGGGGGTTACTTGCTCGAGAGCCCTTCCTTTTGCGGGGTCTGGCCCTCAGGGGGGGAGGGGTCGAGGCACTCTTCGTGCTGCCGTGCGGAACGCAAGGGGAGGAACGAAGGCGGCGCGTTTCTGGCCACAGCGAGCCTCGGCCACGGACAGGTTCAACGATCTGAGTCCACGGAGCGACCCCAGAACCAGCGCCACTCCTGAGCCCAAAATGATCATCATTCCAGCGTCTTGACCGCAATGGCTGAAATATATATATATATATATATATATATATATATATATATATATATATATTCTCATACGCACCTCTCCGAGGGAGTAGAGCTCAGAGGCGATTAATGCGCACGTCGTCCGCGATTTTTCTGGCCGTTTCGCTCGGGACATCCTCGAAATTCTGAAAATCGGTGGCACCCCTCACGCAGATCGTGACGTCAGGGTCCAAAAACACATGGGAATTTCAACATTTTAACATAAAACCTTCAAAAACACATTGTAATTTCAATAATTTTGACCCCGATTCTCAGAGAATGGCGGTTTCGCCTGAGACATCCTCCCAAAATCGAGCCCCAGACCCCTCCTCGGAGCCTCCTGGGGGCCTCCTGGAACCTCCTGGGGCCTCCTGGGGCTTTCTGGACCTTCTGGTACCCCAGACCCCGCCTCGGAGCCTCCTGGAGTTCTCCTGGGCCTGCTGAGGCCGCCTGGGGCCTCCTGGGGCCTCCTGGGGCTTCAGAACTACATGCACACACAGAGACACAAATCACGCCCAACACATCACACGCTAGACAAACATAACACACACACACACACACACACACAACACCGACAACACACAAAAAGCACGCACCACACAAAGCACACATCACACACACACACACACACACACACACACAACACTCACAATCCTGGGGCCTCCTGGAGCCTCTTCTGGTATCCAAGTCGGGCCTCCTGAGGCTTCCTGGGGGGCCCTGGTACACACATCGCAAGGTGTGGCAACCCCACTTGCGCTCGAGTGCGACTTCGCTGTTGCATGTCACTCCTGCTTCAAACGCCCCTTCAGCTTGTTGTATGAGCCTGGGCACACACGTGCCACTTGTACATATATATATATATATATATCCGTTCGACTCGAGACGGATGAAGCGGTCAGCAGGAAGAAAACTACGGGAATGCTGACGCCATCCAGTCGGAGCGGCACTCGTGAGCACTGGATGTTTGAGGGTGTGGCTCATCTGCGGATCGGCCGTTCTGCGCGGTGTCCGTGCTGGTAGGGATGTCGTGAGCCGTCTGGCCGGTAGGAGATCTCTGGCTCCACATGTCGCCGGCTGGTCCATCGTGATGGCCAGCGTGTCGAGATTATCTTAAAAGAGGTCGCCAACATCAGCCTGAATTTTCGCGCCGCATACGTCGATCCGCTCCTTGGGTCTCGTCCTCGCCATCTCGTTCCGCCGCTCTGGTGAAGAGTGACGGGGGCACGGTGCGCATCGTCTCGTGGATCGGATCCGAGAGGTGTTGTTCGGAATGGTCTGAACCCAGTCGAGCATCGCCCTGTTCCTCCCCAATGCGAGCCTCGTTGCCCCGACCGTTTCTGTGCTATGGCGTGTCGTGAGCGCGCGCCGTTGAGGTCATACTCGGCAGGTGCCAGCCCAACCAATCCATCAGGGCCCCAGCAGGCTGTGCCAGTTGGCAGTGTTGTCCAGGCGGTTGGCGTGGGTGGGTTTCGAGGCCTCCTCAATCCGACCAGCCCTCTGGGCGTAGGTGGTCTAGAGAGGCTCCTCTTCCAACCACCCTGGACCTGGACAGGGCGCCCGGCGAGTCGTTGGAGCGTCAAAGATTGCCCAAGGCGGCTCCAAGAGGGCCTCGGAAAGAGTCCACGATGGCCTCCACGATGGCTCAAGATGCCTCGAAATTGCTCCCAGCATGCTCCAAGAAGCCTCCAGACCGCTCCAAGACGTGTCCAAGTGGCCCGAGAGCTCTCCAAGGGGGCCCCCCAAGAGGCCAAGAGCCCTGCACTACCAACGCCCTACTCGCAACTTGCAATCAGCTCCTCCTGCGTTCGTCCTCTGCGTCCGCCGTCTCGGTCCTTCTTCTCTTGCCCTCCCCTGCTCCCCCCCTGTTTCTCGCCCGACGCCGCTGCTTGCTGACGAGCCGCACGCGAGGTCACACACGGCCTTCTCTATTCTGGCATGACCATCGCAGCCCACCCTCTCAGCCATGCTTCTCAATACGCTCGGACCTATAGCCTTTACCTCCATCCATCGTCAGTGTGGCCGTACTGTCTGCTGGGCGGGCTGCTTGCGATTGTTGAGGTGGGTGGACGGGGACGGGCGGGGCGGTTGCTCGCAGCAGGCCGCAGTTGCACATCTTGCTCCTCAACAGTTAAAGCGCGCGCAGTTTTATTGCAGCCCCCCTACTGCAGGACCTGGCCCCACGACATAGATTGCCAGCCTCTGCGTCCATCTGTCACCCGCCTGCTGTACTGTCCACTGGGAAGGTTGTTCGGGTAGGGTTACGAGAGGTGGTGAGGAATTTGACACGGCTGCCCAAAGCAGCTGACTATCTTCAAAGGCCAGCCATTATGCATGGCCAGCCTCAGCACGGCAAACAATGGCACACCACAGCCTTACTTGATCTTTTAGTGGCACTCGCATGCCTCCTCTCTTGCAAGACCTATCTCTGCCAGCCTCTACTCCCAGCGTGGCATTGCCAATTGGTGAGTATAGTCCGTGCTAAACCCGAAAACGAATGCAAAAAACACGTGGGTCCCGTGGCCTTGGAGGTCCGGGGTGAACCGCAAAACCCTGGGTAGCCACCCAAGAGTTGCCGCCACGCTTGCACTCCCGTTTTACTACTCCTTTCATAGTTTACGCGGGTAGTTGTGATGGCGTTGGGATCTTCAGTTCGGCAAATCTGCTGAAATGGGTGCGGGGAGGTGGAAGGAGATCTAAAGCGCACTCTTCATTTCGGGCCCCCCTGGCTCACAGGGAGTGGCCCCACCGACTCACAGATCCACAGGGGCGGCCCTAGCAGATGGCGTGGCCAGCTCGTTCTACTCGGTTCTCAAGACTTTGAAGCGTCACAGACACAATCCATGTAAAGCATACTTCACAGCAGCCCGCAGACGCATACTCCGCGCTCTTGATAATAATACAGGCCAGCCTGTTACAGTGCCGGCCTTTCTTTTCGCAGTCCTCACAAGCATTACTCCACTCGTCCAAGATTAGTCACAGACGATACAAGCCAGTCTAGCCAGAACTGCTGTGCTGACTACTGGAGCGGAGAGGTCGGCACACGTTGAGGTAGTCGGGGGTGCTTGGGGAAGTAGCGCATCCAGGCGCGACCCTAGCAGAGGGCGCGGCCAACCTTAGAAAGATTTACACTCACACACTCGCACTGTGGTCGCGACTTTACTCCCTCTGCGTCGACTGTTTTGCTTTTTGTTGTTCTCTCGCACTGCACCGCGCATGTCGACCTCTCCTCGATCGGTCTCGTCCCTAGCATGTGTTATTGAAGTACGGGTTCACGTCGTTCATTTCTAATCGTGCTCATTTCGAATTGTGCTCGTTTCTGATTGTTCCTGGCCCCCTAGTGGCCAGGAAGAGGCCCAGGATAGAACAATTAGAAATGAAAGGATCTTGGCCCCAAAAAAAATCCGCCGACCCCTTGTGGGTCTCTAGGCGTGTGAGACTGTTCCACCCCCTACCCCCCCCCTGGCCCAGGACGAACGCGTCATGGGAGCATAGAGGGCTCAAAAACGGGCCAAGAGGGCCCCAAGTGGGCCCCAAGACGATCCAAGAGGGCCCCGAATCGTCGAATGATCCTTCCAAGACGCCCAAGATGGCATCCAAACGGCCCAAGATGCCTCCAAAACGCCCCAAGAGGCCTCCAAGAGGCCTCCCAAAAGGCACCGACGAAGTGAGAATTGCCCCGTTCCCCTGGGAAAACGTATGTTTAAAACATATGCGCCTCCTGCGCTTTCGTACCGTGGAAGACGGCCCGAAAGACCCCTAGGACAGATCCGAGACGGCCCCCAAGGGCCCCAAGACCGCCAAAGAAGCCCCGATGACGGCCCCAGAGGGCCCCCGGACGGCGCCAAAAGGGGGCCCACGGGGGGCACCCGAACCCACGTTTCCAGCCTTCGGCCCCAGGACGCCCCCAGATGGCCTCAAGAAGCCCCCAACACGCCCCCAGAAGCCCCCAGGGAGCCCGAACAGAGCTCCCAAACGCCCCCAAGAACCTCCCAGGAATCGGACAAGCCTCGTGGAATGCAGTCCTGGACGCGCAGTAGTTTATGGAGGGGTCGGCGGATGTGGCGTACGCATATAAGATCACAGAACTCTCGAAGAAATAGAGACGAACAATGCGTACGGGTATGTGCTCCTTCCCCGCTCCACCCTGCGGCCTGGCGGGCGCATGCGGCCCGTTGTACCCTCTCCGCTGCCAGACGCCCTTCCTTTCTTTTCGGCTGCGCCCGCCAGGCTTCATCTAAAACAGGGCTAGGACCTGGATAAACCGCTCCAGAGCGTTCCGGAGCGCTCTCAGAGCGTTCCGGAACGCGCTGGAGCGGCCGCGGCGCCCAATACATCCTCCAAACCCGCCGATTCTCAGAGATTTCGAGTTATCCCGATCCGATGTTGTCCTGATCTTCGCGTCGTTTTATCATCCGTCGGCTCTCTGCCCAGGCCGGCAGCTTCCCTTCCGTTCCGCCGCCCCTTCGTTGAAAGGCTCGGGCTGTGGTTGCTCGGCGCGCTCGGGGTCGCCCCTTGGCCACGGGGCGTCCCGAAGGGCTCTCGGAGGCACACCCGCGTCAGTGAGCTCCGCGCGAGGAGCGGGACGCAGCGTGAGCCGCCGCACAGGGGGCAGAAGGGGCGGTCAGGCCGGCAGCTTCTCGTTGGGCACCGTCACAGACCGCAACGATTGAAGGGGCCCCAGGACACACAAAGAAATACACACGAATGAAAAGATTCCCCATGTTTTCCCATGTTTTCTGGGTTTTAGTCTCCCCCCCCACTTCCCATAGTTTCCCATATTTTCCTTGGAATCGACGATTGATTGTGTCTGTGTGTTTTTTCCCCTCCTGAAGAAGGGCGGTCAGGCTGGCAGCTTCTCGTTGGGGCACCCTCACAGACCGCAGCGATCTCCGATCCATAGGGGGGGGGGGGGAAACGCAAGAGGCAGCGATGCGCTGCTCTCTGTCGGGTCGGGCGAAAAGGGGGGGATAGCAAAGGGGGGGGTTGAGAATCAGCTCACGTAGCTGATTTTCCTGGCGCCTCCCGGCGCCGGAGGCGGCGATGTGTCGAGGAATGGGCCCCTTGGTGAGGCCAAAACCAGCTGCATGCAGCAAATTTCGTAACCCCCCCTTTCCCAATCCCCCCCTTTCGCCCGGCCCGACTCTGGGCCTCTTCGGTGGCGCGTTCTGGCCAGAGTTCCGAGGCGAGGTCCCACGGTGGCGACGAGGGCCGCCGAGGATGCCCAGGAGGAGAAAAAACGGGCGAAGGGTGGAAGTATGGGTACCTTGTCCTCCTCTGATTCATGTCTGCACAACGCCGAAAAACAGGAGCAGGAGCAGCAGGAGCAGGAGGAGCAGGAGGAGCAGGAGCAGGAGGAGCGGGGCAAGGAGCAGGGGCCACGGGAACCCCACGGGCTACCGTAAGGGGCAGGACGAGCAGGAGCGGGGGCTACCGTGAGGGGCAGGACGAGCAGGAGCGGGAGCGGGAGTAGCAGAAGAAGGAAAACACGAGTAGCAGCAGCCAGATTAGGCGCGGGAGGACTTAGAGTTACATTGAAGGGGCCCAGGGACACACAAACAAAGACACACGAACCCTAAGATTACCCATAGTGTCTCCATCCTCGTCTGCCCTCCCACTTCCCACACTTTCCCATGTCGCCCTGGGGACCGAGGACTGAGTGTGCATGTGTGCTCCTCCCCCTCCCTACACATGACGTGTCCGTCCCTGGCCCCTGCACGACGGGCGCGAGGGCAAAGAACGTGGAGATGTGGGGCTCCGGCGGGGCCCCCAGCCGAGCGGCGAAGCGCAACAAAGATACCCTGCGCATGAGAAGGCGAAAGCCCCCTGGCTACCTGCCAGACCACCCCAGCCCAACCCGAAGACCCCAATTTCGGGTTCAATATGTGTTTTTTCAGTGTTCGCCGACAGACCCCAACTGGAAATGGAGGGCAACTTGAGGCCTTCGGGTTGGGTTGGGGTGGTTTGGTGGGTGGTGACCCACCCCCACCCCCAGTCCCGACGCCCATCCCCGAACCCGCGATCCAGGGGGTCGGGACTGGAGGTGGGGGTGGGGTTTCGGGGTCCAGGAATCGAGAAAACCCATCCCCAACCCCAGTCCCGACCCCTTGAATCGCCGGCTCGGGGATGGGCGTCGGGACTGCAGGGGGTGGGGGTGGGCTTTCGCCTTCTGAGCGTAAAAAAACATCTCCAACGGGGCAGGGCACCAGGAAAATCCGACGATGTGACGGTTCCAATTCGCGGCCTCGGGGGCTTTCCCCAGGGGCAGTTTTCCGTCCCGGGCCAATGTTTGATGGCCCCGCCCTCCCGAAGGCCGAAATCGAGAAACAAACAACAAAGATTTAATAAAACAGATCGTCGGAGGCTCCAAGGCAGTCAAGGGCAGCCTCTTAAGCCCCAACCCCCACCGGGAGGATGAACTGGAGGAGAAGGAGGAGGAGAAGGAGCAGGGGCAGGAGGAGGATCGAGACCTAGGAGGGAGGGAGGGAGAGAGGGAGGGGGAGGCAGGGAGGAGGAGCCATCCTCAAACGACCGCACAACGGGTCGGACAAAAGGGGGGGGATAGCAAAGGGGCGTTTAGCGAAGCAGCTCATGCAGCTGGCATTCCCGGCGCCTGCCGGCGCCGGACACGCCAACGGAGGGTCGATCTCCGAGGCTGTCTCCAGCTGGCATCAGCGCGGTTTTGGGGCACAGGCCGTTCTGCGAAGATGTCTACACTGCCGTGGGCCGTCATCCGAGGCAAGCACCCAGCGGCGGCTGCGTGCAGCAGACCTCCTCCCCACCCGCACCTGCGGTCAAGAACTTTTGCTTTTATAGCGCGGCGGGCAGCTGGGAGGCCGGGCAGAGCTCGAAACGGTGTCGCTCCGCTCCGCGTGGCGGGTGGCTGGGCAGAGCCCGGGACGCTCGACGCCCGGGGGCCGGCAGGTGGTCGGCGTGTCGCGCTGGAGCGTGGTGGCCACAGGACCTGCGGCGCGACACGCGAGGCAAACGTTCCTGACCGTATTCCCCTCCGTCGTCCAACCCGGCGAGGAGGCAGGAGCCCGGGGCGTCCAGGAGGCGACCACACATCACGGCCCGAGGCCGGTGCGCGGCCCACTAGGGGGGCCCAAAAGACGTGCTGAAATAATGATGCCAGAGAAAAAAAACAATCTTAATATTTTCAGAGCTATGGGGCTATAGGGCTATAGGGCTATAGGGCTATAGGGCTATAGGGCTATAGGGCTATAGGGCCACAGGGCTATACGGCTGTAGGGGCTATAGGGCTATGGAGCCATAGGGTTCTGGGGCTATGGGGCTATGGGGCTATAGGGCTCTAGGCCTATAGGGCTATAGGTCTATAGGGCTATGGGGCTATAGCGCCATAGGACCATAGGGCTAGGGACTATAGGGGCTAGAGGGCTATAGCGCCACGGAGCTATAGGGTTAAAGGCGTATATAGAGCTATAGGGCTCTAGGGCTATAGGCCTATAGGGCTGTACATGTATTATAAGTCTATAGGGCTATAGGACTGTAGGGCTATAGGGAAATCGGGCTACAGGGCTATAGGGTTATAGGGCTATAGGGCGATAGGGCTATATGACTATTGGCTATAGGACTATAGGGCTATACGGATATAGGGCGATAGGGCTATAGGGCTATGGGGCTATAGGGCTATAGGGCTATAGGAATAGAAGGCTATAAGGCTATAGGGCTACAGGGCTATGGGGCTATAGGGCTATAGGGCTGTAGGGCTATAGGGCTATGGGGCTATAGGGCTATAGGGCTATAGCGTTATTGGGCTACAGTAACAGAGGGCTGTAAGGCTATAGGGCTATAGGGCTATAGGGTTCTGGGGCTATAGGGCGATAAGGCACCTGGGCACCTGGGCACACGGGCGGGACGCGGAAATCGTGACACACCTCACCTAACCATATGAATCCGCTAGGACCATACAGAGGCAAGCCCTGATTGGGGAACAAGAGGGGACCGTGAAATCTGTGGAGATGTCATGGCCCCCGCCAGAAATATCCGCCACCTTCCAGCCATGATCCCCCTCTCGGACTGGACGCCCCCGAATGAGGAGGAGCGAGAGCGGGAGCACGCGAGAGCAAGACGTGAGCAGTAGTAAGAGCAGCCCGCGGTGCCTCCGCGGCCGGCGGCGGCGGCGGCAGCTCATCGACCTTTGGCCGCCGCCGCCTCGCGAGGGCGACGACGACGACGAATAGCGCCAACGGCGACAGACGAACTGCATCGACGATCGGGCTTCGATGCGACAATGACGATCGAGCGATCAAGCTCGGGCTTCGACGATCAAGCGTCGACGACCGAGCTTCGAGCTTCAAGTGAATCGAACGATCGAACTTCCACCTCCCTCTCCTCGTCCTCGTCCTCGTACCCCTCCAACTGCTCCGCTTCTCGTGGGTGGCCAGACGAGACAACGGCGCCCCTCCCTGGAGGTGTCCCTCTTGCTTGAGCCTCCAGGAGGCTCGAGCTGGATCCGCCTCGAGACTCTGGCCTGAGCGCACCCGCAGTCGGGTCCGTGGGTCGACTCTTGGCGGCGGCCACGACGACGACGACGACGGCGACGTCGCCGTCGTCTCTGAGATGTTTGAATTTGGTTCCAGGGCGCAGGGTTGGCCAAACCGGCGGACCCATCCGACCAACCTTCTGCACGTTGACTGTGCAGAGCGTGGTCCGGCCATGGCGCGTACACACGCTTGGGCGAATGTAGGTAAGGCGCATGGCTCTACGAGGCCATCACCGGGCGAAACGACACCAAACGTAGAATGCCGAAGAGAGATCTGACGGGCCTGAACACGGACAAGCACACACGCCTCATGCACGCCATGCCCGTCGAGACGAGATCATACCTGGAACGAAGCGACCGTACGGCTCAGAACGCCATGGCAACCAGCGAAACCGTAATGGTGAGAACGTCACGCAGACGCATCAGCGGAACAGTCCAGGAACTACAAACCAGGGGCGAAGACATTGCAAGTATAAGTTCGAGAACGCCTTGAGCTTTCCTCGGCGTGTGAAATGATTGCCCATCCCCCACCCCACCCGACGCACGCAAACCACGCTCGGGTCTGAGCCGAAGCCCTGAAGCCTAGACCTCGCAGCTATAGGCCCCCAAGCCTCACCTCTTCCGCAAGCCCTATCCTCAGCACTTGGACCCCAACCGCATGGGTCTACCAAGGCAAAGAACAGCTCGGAAACCTCGCTGGAGCTTTTCGGGGGCCTCCCGGTCGGGATGCAGCCCCAGCCGCCTACCCCCCGACACAGACTTCGCCCGAGCTCCAGCCGAAGCGCTACAAGCTAAAGTCCCGCAGCGCTAGACCGTCAACACGTCGCCTCTGCTTCCCCAGGCCCCATCCTCAGCACTTTGGCCCCAGTCTCATGGGCCCACTGGGGGCAAACAAATCACATGCGAGGGTGTTCGCCTTCGCGCCGCCACCATCAACGAGCGCGCGGTTGGTGAAGGCCGCACCTTGACATCGGAACCGGAAAAGACGAAGAGCCCTTACCTGCGCCACGAACTCAAGTAGCAGAATTATGATCTTGGAACACAAGCCCGACTGGAACGAGCCAAACTGAATAACATCTAGGGTTCCCCTTCGAACCGACCGAACGAGCAAACAGTCTTACTTCCGACGAGGACCACAGCAAGGTGACCACCTCAGCCTGTTGCTTCCCAGCGCCGTCCAGAAGACATGTTCGGGGGGAAGCAGTCGCAGAAGAATTGTGGGTTACATCTCGGCGATATAAAGTTGGCACTGGTTTCCAGCATGCATGTTGATGATGATGTGTTATGGGATGCGCCGTCCTACACATGTATACATATCATGCTACGCGACCTCGTCGCGGAAGCTGACGCGAGGGGCCTAGAAACCCATTCAGAGGCAACGCAGGGTTCCTGCGATGTGACCTATGAAACCGCCATGACATCAAGAAACAGAAATGAATGTGGGCGAGATGTGGATATAGATCACTCCTTTCCATGGCAGCGTCAAGTACCTCCGACGCAAGCTCACCTTCGACGATCCCGACGACGCGAAGTTCGATCACATTATCGGGAGGGGCTGGAGGAAGTTCATTGTGCACAAATGCAAACGTCTGTTGAGCAAACGTCTGTGATTATTCGGCATGGTCGTGGGGCGCACAATGCTCCAATGAGCAACAACCTGGACGATGGCAGCATCGCTGGAGCGGAAAAACACAAATGTCAGCGCTGCATGCTGAAGCTGGTCCTGAGCCACCAGAGCTGGCGATTATGGACAAATGAGGCTGCGATGGGGCATGATAACACTCGGCGAATCGGATAAATCTGTTATACCGTGCAGGAGAATAGGACATCCAGTTCGAATGATGGACAATCGGACGACGAATTGGCAGTCACATGTGAACACTACCCTTGCAGGTCAGTTTTTTGAAATACAGGTGGACCACGAGGGCCCCCCGTTTCTGGGGCAACTTCCCATCCTGGGCCACTCGCTGATTGGCCCTGGGGACCGAAACCGGCCTCCTGAGGCCCCGAATGGCGAAACCAATTGTCGCCTCTAGGAACATACACACACACACACACACACACACACACACACACACACACGCACGCACACACGCACACACCAAACAAAAAAACATCGAAACAGTAACGCAGAACGCCCGGCAAAAGGCGAGGCGAGGCGTTACCCACTTTTTGACCAGCGGCACCCTGGCTCCAATTTGCGGTCAAGCTACGCAAGGGCTGCCGCTGACCGAGTTCAAGGAGTTACAAGCATCCACCGCCTGGGGAACCGACCTCCCAGGACCCCAGAAGGCGGTGGACATGGAGACTCTCGGGCCCCGGCGGGAAGGCCATACATACGCATCCACCGCCTCCTGGGGCCCCGGAGAAACGGTTCCCCGGGAGGTGGATGCGTGCAAACACCGGCCTCGCATGACCTCCGGCCTTGCGTCTTTGCTTACGGCGTGGGCCCCCTAAGGTCTCCAGCCGTTCTGGGACCGGCTGTTCCTCCTGAGCAGTTTCCCGGCGGCCCCAACGATCAGCAGAGGCCCCGGGAGGCCGAACATGGCCGGAAACCTCCCGTAGTGTTCTTCACGACGCAGGGAGATCCTCTGAGATCCGACGTCCGGCATGATGGCGAAACAAAGCCAGAGACCTCGTTCACGTTTTCCTGCAGCGGTTCCCTAGCTGGATCCATCCGTGAGGGTCCAAGGGCCCGACGCTAAGCATAAGCGCACCGTGCGAAAAAACATTCCCAAGATCTAAATTACGGGTCCGAACCATGTTGAGAAGCGCATTGGAAACATACGAGCGCAACACCGCTCAAAGCCACTCAGTAAAGGGCGCGGTGTTGCGCGGTGTTGAACGGTGTTGGTCGGGGTCGTGCGGTGTTTGCGCTGTGTTGCGCGGTGTTGCACGGCTGTGCTTCTCTGGCGAGCACTGATGAACCTGTCCATATCTGTATATCCATATATATACACACACAGTTCTCCCCACACCCAGATTCGGGTTCTTGTTTTCACTGCGCACCCCCCGCGCAGGATCTCCTCCGCCTTCTCTTCCTCCCCCCTCTCTTACTCACTCATACACTCATACGTTCACGCTCTCACGCAGTCTTAAACATCACCAGCAGCGTCATCACCATCACCACCATCACAAATCACTCACTCACCCACTCACTAACAAATTCACTCACTCTCTTACTCCCTCATCATTACCGATTCACTCACTCATTCGCTCAATACCTCACTCACTCACTCACTCACTCACTCACTTACTCTCTCACTCACATCAACTCTTCACCATCACCACCACAATCGCTGTCATCATTATCATCATTATCACCCGCACAACGATCACAATGTCACCACGATCATAACGATATCGGAACCAACATCAGCATACTCACATATTCATCGTCAGCGCACACACGCAATCAAACACTCATATTACGAAAGTCTCGGGCGGGAGCCCCCGTCTTTGATATGATATCACGAGGAAATTTCCAGCGGGAGCCCCCATGTAGGGCCGCACTGCACGTTGGCAATCCGAGCGGGCATTCGCATTCAAGTAAATGTCGTCACTGTCGGGCTCGTCAAACCTGGATGCGAAGGAAGTCTCGCGCGGGAGCCTCGTCCGTGAGTTCATCGCAAGGAACTCTCAAGAAGGAGCCCCCGCACCCCATATTGGCAATCCGAACGGGCCATGGGAATCCTGTAACTGTCGTCTTTTTCGGGTCTATCAAACATGAATACGCAAGAAATCTCGAGCGGGGTCATCGTCTGTGAGAAAATCAAGAGGATGTTTCCACAAGGGGCCCTTTGTTATATATACATATATAGATATACATATACATATACATATATACACATATATATAGATATGGGGCCCGCAAACCATGTTGGGAATCCGAACATGTCATCGCATTTTCGTAACTGATCTCACGTTGGGTCTCGTCAGGCATGAATGCGGAGGAATTCTCGCGCGGGAGCCTGTGAGTGATTCGCGAGAAAATCTCGCACGGAAGCCCTCTCCCTATGGAGCCCGCAAATTTCGTTTGCAATCCGAGCGGGTCATCGCATTCCTATAACTGTCGTCACTTTTGGGCTCGGCCTGAACGTGGCAAGTAACGGGAGCCTCGTCTGTGTCTGTGAGTGCCCGCGAGGAATCTCAAGCTAGAGCCCCCTGCGGATGGTCACGGCGCATCGTCAGAAGGGTGACGCGAGCCCTAACGGGCTAATCCGAAGGCTCCCTAGAGGCCCGCGGCGAATCGCCAGAAGGGTGACGCGAGCACTCGCGGTTCAATTCGAGGAAGAATAAGAGGAACATGGATTCAAGAGGACGACGGCGGCTGGGCACAGGGGGAAGCCCCTGAGTCCGAGGGGGGTAGGACAAGTCTAGGAACACAGATAATTCGCAGGCCCAACGGGCCAGAGGCGTGCTAAGATCTCCGGTAACTGGTTAACAATTCTTCTAGTTCGCGCGCGCGGGGCGGCCCCTGGGGGTCCCCCGGCGAAAAGTACCCCGACCGCAGCCCGGGAAGGTCCCGGGAAGGTCCTGGGAAAGTCCCGGGAAGTTCCCGGGAAGGTCCCGGGAAGGTCTACTCAGAGATGGTTTTGAGGGCCATTTTTCGACACCCCTCACGAGGATTGTGGCCTCCGAGGGGGGTGCACTCGACTACCCCGCCCCA